TTGAAGTGCTGGATTGCCACCTGCTTCTAACGAATCGTCCATGGCTCCGGGGAGATCTTCATCCCATAGGGCGGAGGTCAGATGGGAGGTTTTTGCGGGTGAAGCATAATTTAATAATGCCTCGATGTATGCGCGGTATGCGTAAGCATTGTTTGGTGGTGACACGAGCTTTTGATTAAAATATACGTCGATTTGATTGAACATGGAATGTAGTAGATGATTTACGGGGCCTACTTTGGGCACGACGGCGGCGGTGGCGTCGGCGGTGGCGGCGGCAGTGCCTTCTCTGTAAGCGGCGGCGACGTTGGGGGTGCTTTCTACTCGTATACGTAGACTCAGCAGGGTGTGAGTGAGATCCAGATAGTCTTCTCCATGCCCGGGTATGACGAATTCTACAGGCGCGTTGCCCGCGAGCGATGTTACTGGTTTGTAATAAATCCATTGCGAACTTTCAATGCTAGTTTGCGTAGGCGGAAGAGAAAAGAGATCGAGCTCATTTTTTAAACACTTGCTCGAGTGAGTATGGAGAAAGGACATATTTTATTCTTTCTCTCTCTCTCTCTCTCTCTCTCTCTCTCTCGCGATGTATAGCGTTGATTATGAGAATATGTCTGACACCCTGCGTTTTTTCTTCCCGCTATTTCGGCGACGTTTCGTAACGGATGATTTTTTGTTTTTTCTTCTTACCGTACGAATTTTCTTTTCCTTCTTTTTACTCTTTTTTCGCCCACTACTTTTTGTCGATTTTTTTGCCTGCCGGCGTTTACAGTGCGCAGAACTGCTCACGAGGCGAGTAAGGTGGCTGACGAGAGGAAACTGAAGCGACGTAGTTTTTGCGGGTATTTTATATCCCGAACCCCTCATCAGGCTACTTATTTTTTCTTCGGCTTTTCTTTTGAGATTACCTCTCGATTCCTTAAAGCGCGTCGTGACCGCTTCCTTCAACGGTACATTGTTTTCGACATTGTTCATTACATTAAGTCCCGCGCGTAAAACTTCTTTACCGACAGCACGAGCACTTTACCTTTGCTCAAATAAGATAGTATTTTTCTAAATAATCCGCCGAGAAAACGTCCGATTCCATGGCCACGTTGATACGACGATCCGACGAAAACGCGAAGAATTTTGCTTCGTCTGGCTTCGCTTGTTGTATCAAAATACTCGCCGTACTCCATCGCGGAATTTATTTTTGCCAACTCTCTCTCTCTCTCTCTCTCTCTCTCTCTCTCTTTCTCGAAGTAGATGTTCAATACCGGCTTAATTGTGTACTCACAGATGAGCGTTAATGCATACGTTTAAAGTGCAATATCACAGTCGACGTTCCGGAATTGAATGGTATTCTTTCACCACGATGATCTCTTATATCTATTTCGATTCTACGAAAATTTGTTTGTCGCACAGGGATATAATTCAGGCGAGAAAAACGACTTACCAGAATCGTACCGTACGCGTAATTATGTTCACGTATCTCAACCGGTACAACGCAGAGAAGTGGAGTTCGCACATCACCGGTTATATAAGGCTCGCAAATATCGCAATAAACAAATATTTTATCGGAAATACCGCTCCATGGACTATGAGGTTCGCCCAGAAATGTTTGAATTTCTGGTCATTTTTAGTCGGAAAATTGAAATTAAGAAAATTTACTTTTTCAGTTAACCTTTTGGAATTAGTCTTAAATATCTCAAACTTGGTAAAAAACTCAGATTCCTTAGCAAGGTCTCCCGCCAAACCTAACACACGAATAAGATTATCGAAAAAATTTATAAGATGAATCGAATTGCATTTATTGTCACAGCTGACGCTTATACAAATGCGACCTCCTCTCGCCTCACAAGGGAAGTTTGCGAACCCGAAAATTCAGAAAAATCTGACTCTTGGTGTAAAAGTAGAGCAATTTATCCGTAGCATGAAACTATTTTTCGTTGGTGCTCAATTCCGTTTTGAAGGGAT